AACGACTAAAAATTTTCGATTTTGAAAAGCTCCACATACCCCCGTGGACAGATTTGTAGAAGTATCGATAGCAATCGATGCACTTTTCCATGCTCTTCCAGATGATTATCTTTATATTGCAGTTTATCTAACAAGCTCGCAGAAGATTACCAGAAACTACGACCCATGTTTTTTGTTATGGTCAAATTTTGCAATTTTTTGAAATAAAAAAAAACGTAAAACTCAGATTAGCGCTACAAAATTTTCGATGGCTTTCGCCAAATCACTGAAATCAAAAAAACGCGTTCATTGAATAAGTTTCCTTGAAATCCCACTGGCATTTATGACTCATAATTGTTACATAAGCTGCTGCAGAGCAATGAATGCATCATCGATTTTTTATTAGGTTGAACCGAAAGTTCTGTCGTTTCATTTTCAAAAAGTTCTAACTCCGCGAAATTTCAACGGATTTGCTTGCTTGTAACTATAGTAGAAAGAATAAGTCTTTCGCTTTCGAATATTGTTCCGTGGAGCTTCTGTTTCATACTGGGTGCGGAGATAAAAATGAAAAACTAAGACCATATAAGCTTTGACCATTTTAAGTTAGGTCACCAAAAATCTGGAACGCTGCAGAAAAATCTGAAATCGTCAGTATGTATGTTTTTTGGCCTACCCTTTGCATCTGTAAAAAGTTTGTGCTGTTTGGACGTCTCTGTGAGAAGTTATGAATATCGAGTTTACTATGAAAAACGCCAAAATTAATTAATTTGTCAATTTTCGCGAAAATCATAACTTTTCACAGAGAGTCCGAACACAAACTTTTTACAGATGCAGAGGGTAGGACAAAAAACATATGTACTGACGATTTCAGATTTTTTTGCAGCGTTCCAGTTTTTTGGTGACCTAACTTAAAATGGTCAAAGTTTATATGGTCTTAGTTTTTCATCTTTATCTCCGCACCCAGTAAGAAACAGAAGCTCCACGGAACAAAATTTGAAAGCGAAAGACTTATTCTTTCTACTGTAGTTACAAACAAGCAAATCCATTGAAATTTCGCGGAGTTACAAATTTTTGAAAATAAAACGACAGAACTTTCGGTTCAACCTGATATATTTTTTATGACTGTTCTAAAAAAGCAAATAATGCATGGTTGGTGTGCCGACACGCTGTTCTCGCGTTTCTGTCGGTTATGCGCAACAGATTCGATGGCGATGTCACTATGATCACGTAGGGCTTCACCGAAACTCTTTTTCCTTCATTATCACGGTCTTGTTTCCTCTAAAAAATTGATTTGACTGCAAACGATTCCAAGCATTTTCCAAAATCAATACTTTTTGGAAAGAGGCCGCAGTTTGCACTTTGATTCAAACAGTGCAATTCGTAATTGCCTGACATTTGCCCAATACGACATTGAATCTTAGAGGATTAGAGTGGATGCTTTTGCATGCATGGCAAAATTTAGATTTTACTTTCCTTTTATGCTGGGTATATCTATTGCTACAGCAATTCAATCAGCTCATTCAAATAAGGGCTGTTTGCGCTTCCTGCCTTTTTTTGTAAGGATCATACATTCACATATTTGTAAATGTTCAGTCAAAAAACCAACCAAAGTGAGTGGATCTCCGCTCAACCAAACCTACGACCTCCGGTTACCAGCACACTAACATTTATAAACTGCTTATTGATTTTTTGATAAAGATTGAGAAACCAGATCATGCGTTTATATGAACATGTCGCTTCTTTTGTTTTTTATACTGAATTTTTTATTTCTCGAAACCCGGTTTATGTAGGAGGCTGAAAATTTTTGGTTGTAGTTGTAAAGGTTTGCAAGGTCGATCGGCTATGTGATGACAACGCAAATTTTCTGGAACATGTCACAGAAATTCACGAGGTCTAAAGATGAATGTTAGCATATGTCTGCTATGAAAGAAGATTCACTAGAGGATTCTTTGAGCAAGCTCAGCCTGAATCTATTTTCAGATCTAAAATTCATAAACTCTGCAGGACATTGCGACAAATTGACGCTGAGTAAGCCAGTACTCGCAAAGTGGAGACTTTGCCCGAAATAAGCGAAATGTCATAGTTTACTGTCATAAATGCATATGAATAAGTCAGTTTGCAAAGTTTTTCTGAGCCCATTTACAATTTGGGGGTACCCAAATGTCCTGCGATCTAATTTTTCAAGGATCAAAATTTAGGGCATGGTGGTGATCAACTTTAGAACTTGCTTTGTATCGATTACTACCCCATTGTGTTTGTGTCGTGTCCAGTGTCGCGCAAACATAAATCACGCCCATATCCTTCTTGCGAAAACTACAAGATTCAAGCTTGTGAAGGTTTGTAAGCCTAAACAGATTATCTGTTGTACTGTCTCTCTGTAAACGGGAGAGGCATCAAAAAGTGCGAATGCCACACTCCAGGACTTGTGCTACATCCCGGTAATTTTGTCACAGAGAGAGTTTGCGGCCGATCTTCATCACATTTAAGACAGTGCGACCCATCGGTGGGTCGTACATGTCCTGCCATTTCGGACAATGCAACTCATCGGTGGATCGTATGCTTTCTCTGGTTTTTGACTTTGCTGCTTTACGATGAAACTCTTTGAGCAAATTGAATGTTGACCTCAGGGACTGAGAGTTGTTACAGAGGGCTAAATCGAGTATGCTGATTACGAATACAATATCGGTTTCCAATGTTATCCGTTACTTTTACCGATTTTATCGATTTTTCGGCAAAGTTTGGGCTACGGAGCTGAGAGTTGGCACGGGGGGGGGGGGGGAATAAGTGAGCACGCTGATTACTAACACAGCGGGATTAGGGAATTGGCATGTAGAAGTGCGCACAGGGAAATTCTGTGCAATAACCATCCGGTTACTGAAACGCTACTTGGTTGCACAGATTGAATCAGTTTCTTTACTCCATCTTAACATTTTTGATATATTTCCAATAATCTATAGCTTGTACGCTAATCCCCTTTAGAGGCAGCTTAGTGCTGTATACTTTGTGAGATATAAATTGGAAAAAATGTGATCTTCTCGATTGCTTTGATAAAAGAATACTTTGCTTGGGACTGCACTCGCAAAATTAGCACAGGACCACGAAATTGGCGATGCGCTAACCGCTGCGCTCTCTAAAGAATTTTGTCTGCTCTCACTTTCAACAATCATCTTTCTGGTCCCACAGTGAAGGCGATAGTTGATAGCTCAAAACTGGAACGCGCAAACGTTTCTGCTTATCTTTTTGCTTACAGTGACTTGCTAACTGGTCCCATTATCCTGTGTACCCTTGCTTTGCCCTGCAAAAAGGTTACCTTTAGCGCAGTGGCTGAGTGCGAAGTTCACACCGTCTGCTGCGGGTTCAGCGGCGAGATGCGATGAGCATTTTCTACGGCGCCCAATGCGCGTTAAGGGATCGGCCATACTATTCCTGCTATTCCTGCTGGTCCCGTAACAATGTATTAGGTTGGAAACTAAGTTTTGCAACTGGTCTCATAACTTCCCTCTCACTCAACATAGCGCGCTCAAATTTTGCCACTGTGTTGGTTATTACGTAAGCTACAAGCGCAGCTGCTGTCCTTCCAAATTCTGACGTCGCAGTGAGGGTTACGGTAGGTGTACGGTATGAAGGGGAAAAATTCAAAGTTTGACGGATTTGGCTGAAACTTGGCATAGGAGTGTTATCCGACATGCTAATCACGAAAACAATAGTGAAATTGCGTGATAAGGGTTTTTTTGTAGGATTACTGTAGGTGTACGATATAGGGTCCTATCCTAAACAAAGAACGAGGCGTTGATTCAGCTAATAAATATGATATTCGTGTTCAGCATGTCAAAAAACCTCAATAAGTAAGAGCTCGGGGAATTTTGTGGTTCGGACTCCTTAGGCCCGTATGCACTAACATTTCTGCGGCGAGGGGAGCGGCGTCCCCCGTTATGAAGGGACCGCGTGCGGACGCCGCTGCGACTTTTTCATCATTGGGGACGCCGCTCCCCTCGCCGCAGGGATGTTAGTGCATGCGGCCCTTAGTCATTGACGGCTGTCCCCAGCAGCCTTTCGTACAGCAACACTTTCGGGATTATGAGGGCGCCAAATCTCGACTTGCTGCTAAATTTTATTTCTTTTTTGCTGAGCCGAATAACTCAACCTTTAGCAACAATTAGCAGACGATTACGGATTATTGCGGATGGTCTAGACTGCTAACAACATCATTTTGCGTTAAGACCCCAAAAATTCTCAAAATTACCTAGTTTCCGGAAAATTCCTGAAATTTTTCTAATTCGTTCTCGAAATGCAAACAATTCTGGTCAAATGTATCTTACACTACGCTCTACATACTGCCCAAATTTGAGTGCTCCACAACCAAAGAGAGTTGAGTTACGAAAGTAGTTGCAAAACTTAGTTTCCAACCCAATATATTGCGAAGAAACAATGTATACTGAAATTCGGAAAGTGCTCCGCAGTGCGGCACATCGGAAGTAGAGGAATCACAAGATTTGCAGGAATTACAGGACTTGCAGGAATTACCTCCTGGAATAGTATGGCCGTTCTCTAATGCTCCGCACGTTGCTTATTTGGACCGGTCACGACCGCGCTTTTTTCACGCTGTGACGACTTGTGGGATTGGGCCCAATAACATGTCTGTATGTGTATTGATTAGACAATTTTCTTTATGACTTCACAGCAAAGAGTAAAAGAAATTTGGAAGAACTTCTTTTACAACTTTGTCCCTATTCCATCAACTTTGATTGCAAGAGCATCTATTTTTATTACGTCATGAGTAAGCATAAAATCAGAATTTCAACAACTTAACCTTCTGTAAAGGCATGTCTGCTATTTTTGCAAATTGTATATTGGAAAGATGTGTTGCTCACGTGACAAATCTTTTACGCTCAGGATTTAACTGAAGATTAATGAAAGCAGGAGATTTGATTTGATTAGTTGAAACGTTATCGAAATGGGTCATACTATAAGTATCACATCGAAATAGATTTCAAGCTCGCGCCATCACTACAACAGTTGTTTACGGAATCTAGGGACAAAAATAACACATCGTTATGAGTTGCAATAAGGCTTGCACCGACAAAAATAGGAATACAAAGCTACCAGGGACTTTCACAACCAAATAATTACGTTGCGAAAAAAAAGTTTAGATGATTATGTTTCCTATGACTGCAACGAATGCCGCTGTTTTTTGCTCTTAGATAACTGATCCTTGCATTATCGAAGTTCAGTCAGTTTACGCTTTGCTGCAAACAAGAGGATCCTCTGATAACGCAAGCAAAAAGGTGTTCTTCTCTACAGTCGACGCTGATCCATTCACCGCCGTCAGTAATCTGAAATCAAGAAAACCTTGAGCATCAAAGTTTTATCTAATTCACGGCATGCTATACTTGCTACGTGATTGTATCTTCCCGTTAGCGCATTTGAGTTTTGCCTGTATTTTATTGTAAAGATTATTCAGTAAATGACTATTTTTTTGCTCTGAAACTACCTCGCGTAATTGTTGGGATCTTTGATACCTACATTAGGCAATGGTGGGCCCCATTCGGTGGCATTGACGCTGACACCTCATTATTTAGCGTGTTAGAAAAAGAATATTTTATACTACTAAAACAAGATTTTACTGACTTAACATGGGACGAGTTGTCCGCTCCTTGCTATTGGTGCGCGACTGTATCTCAAGTACAGTGTTGGTCACATACTGCGGATCGCCAAGGCATGAGATCAAAATCAGACGGCAAGAATGCCTGCTGTTTTCTTAGTTTTGATCCAACTGATTCCAGTTCCGATTCGAACTCTTACTTCCATTCTATGCCTTGTATAGGTGCACGCGGCTTCAAAGAAAACCATCGAGAATAACCATCGAGAATATGTTGATGAATGGTTTTGGTTTCGATTTTTCAATCAGTTGTGGTGTAGACCTATCATTGGGATTCCCAAAAAACTTACTGTTGTACAATCCTTGTTTCCTCTGCTGCTGGAAGGCTCTCCTTCCTTCCAGTTCTCGTAGCTGACTTCTGAACCATCGAGCCAATATTTTTCGCACTCTGAAGCCTCTGTCTTTCTGCACATCAGGCCAATCAGAATCTGATCAGCTTTACCTGCAAGCATTTGATAATGTTAAAAAAGTTTGCAATAAGTCTAATGCTATTGACGAAAGCGAAGATTATCAACAGAATTGTGGATTGCCTTAACCAGTTTTGCTGTTTTTTCCAAAGTGTGTGCTGTACCGCTAGAAATTGGTATGCCATGAAGGGAAATGGTGATTACGAGAACACAACGGAGTTGGGAACTTGCATATAAAGCTAGGTTCATACTGATCCGTAAGTTTCGAAACAGTTCCAGCGCAGCGCACATTTCGAGCGCTGTGCTGGAAATGTTCCGGAACTTACGGTTCGGTATGTATCCAGCCTAAAAGGGACAGACGCAAAGAATTTCATACAGAAGTAAAGTGGACTGTGAATTCTGTCATGGTGTGTCAATATGGACCGAGCAATGGCTGGAGGTTCAGCTCGGTCTTGTCTTGCTCTTCTGCTGAAATTACAGATGCGGGATAAATGTGAATACTGACATTCTACAGTACCGCTCACAGAATGTGCAAAATTTTCGTGGATGTCACGGAATTTCGGGGATTTCGCGAGCGGAATTACCGAATCACGCAAACTACGCAGCGGCGCCATAACTCTCTTGGGAATGAATATATTTTGAATCTGGAGCAGCAGCAAGCTCTCAAGGCGATTCTTCTTGTACAGCACGCCCTCGATATCCAGTTTCCAGTTTTCTGTCCGTTTCCTCTGCGAAAGTCTGTTCGCAAGCATGTAGCGCAGCGCCTATCCAACGTAAAAGTTGCCCATAAGTACCGTTCGATAGTACTGTTCCTATAGATTATAGTGCCCAGAAAAGTAGCCGCAGATTTCTTTCCGAAGGAAATAGAAGGGCTGGTAAATTCCGGAAATACATGTCGTTCTATATTTTACTCACGATAGGTCCGATAACCTCTATGAGCAAGTTTTCCGAAATGCTCGAATTATTTAATTTTTTACGTTCGACTCTCTAAAGCTCGCCGATGGATTTTGCGCAAAGTGTTGATGATCTTGGATTGTAAGGAAAGTTCGCTCATAGAGGCTTTCGGACACACTGTTTACAAAAATCGTGGTCTTTGAGGAGCATAAGCTCTCTTTGCAGAGATGGTGAGGCAACTGTAACTGAGTCACGAGCGTATCTGTCAAAAACTTACCTGCTTGCTTTGAAAGTTACTACGAACTGCCATTGAACGATGCATGTCTCAGGCTGCAGTCTTTAAAAATGGCAGAGTTACGAGCCTACGGAAACTCAAAGGTTTTCATGAGTTTTGCCCGATTGTAAAGACCGCGTACTTCGAAATTCCGCCGTGAGTAGTTGTATGACATTCTGATGGCAAATATTATGTTCAGTTCGCTCAAGGAATCCCAGTGTGCTGAATATGGTGGTTGCTTGTGCTGCAGCTGCTTAAATGAATACAAAAGCAGCTTTGTAGCCAGAACTCAGATTTACTTAACTATCAAATCCAGCACAGGAAGATCCATTGAGGGATGTGAACAGATTTGATCAGCGTGTCATACAGCCACTCACAGTGATTTCGACGAAGTATGTGATCTTTACATTTCCGGCAATATTCATGAGGACGTGTTTTCGTAGGTTCGTAATTCGGCGATTTTTATGGAGTGGAGCCTAAGACATGCACCATTCGAGGACACAGTTTCCAGTAACTTTGACTTATAGAAGGAGGCAGGTAAGAAACAGAAAAGTGACAGAAAAGTGCAGGTGAAGTCACAAACTTTCTGACTCAGTTATTACCTCAACACATCTCTGCAAAAAGACCCTGTATTCCTCAAAGACACGATTTTCGTAAACAGCGTGTGATAAACCTCTATAAGCAAAGTTTTCTTATAATCCAAGATCATCGACATTTCGACCGAAACGCACTGGCGGGCGAACTTCAGAGCGACAAACGAGAATAAATCACGTAACTTGAACATCTCGGAAACTTATTCATAGAGTTTATCATCCGATCTGTAGTGAGGAAAATTTAGAACGACATGATTTTTTGGAATTCACTAGCTCTTTTAATTTCTTTGGAGAGAAGTCTGCGGCTACTTTTTAGCGCACTATAATCTATAAGAATAGTGCTATCAAAGTACTTATGGGCATCTTTCACGATGGATAAGCGCTGCGTTACCATGCTTGCGAAAAACAGCAGAAGAATTTGGGAAAACTGGAGACGGAATATCGAGGACATGCTGTACATCAGAAGATTCGCCTTGACGAGCTGATCATAGTGCTGCTCCCGATTTCAGAGTATATTTGTTACGGGCAGAGTTGAGCGTGAGGTGTCAGGCGCGCCCGACCTGTAGGGTCGTATTCTCAGATAATCGCCGGGAACAGACGGTACGCAAACTCGCGCTTTTTTGCAAGGGTCAGCAGAATTTTGGGGCGTGGACGAACCTTCAGCAAGCGGTTTCCTTTACTGTCTAATGTTCTGCCAGCGGGCAGCAACACAGAATATCGTTTCGTAGATATGGAAGACAGTATTCGAACCGGCATTGAAAGGCGCATTTTTTTACATACAAATCATTATGAATGGCCGCGGTGACCAAGTATCCTTCCCTTGTCAGAAGAAAAAGCATCTAGACAACTACGCACCGCAGATAATGTCGGAAATTTTGATCAAAAATGTTATCTGATGGACTTGTAGAAAGGTTGATTTGTGTAATTGGGTGTCGCTGGTGGGGGCGAGGTTTTATCTCAGGCTAATCTTGCTTTCGCTTCTAGAATTGAAAGTGCTCGAGTAATTGGGTATTGCTGGTGGACACGAGTATATATTTGTAAAAATATTCCCAGTTGTATAGAAAGGAATGCGTAATCAATTGGATTTCGCTGGTGGAGACGAGCGTTTACTCAAAGAAACGCTTGAGTCTGGGTCTCGTTGGTGAAGGTTTTTTGCTTTGCTTGAAACTCAACGCTTGGGTAACTGGTCTTGCTGATAGAGATAAGCGTCTACATGAGAAAATCCCGCGGTATTTTACTGGGTCGCGCTGGTGGAGATGAGCTTCTACTTAGGGAAATCGAACGCTTGAGTAACTAAGTCTCGTTGGTGGAGGAAAGCGGCGCTTCGGGTAACGATTCAACGCTTCAGTAAGTGCTCTCGATGATGGAGGAAAATTTACTCGGCAAATTCAATGCTTTGCGTAACGGGTCCCGCTGATGGCGATGAGCTTTCACTTGGGGAAATCCAACTTTCAAATAACTGGGTCTCGCTGGTGGAGGAAAGCGTTCACTCGGCGAGATTCTATGCTTTGATAACTGGGTCTCGCTGATGGAGATGAGCTTCCACTTGGAAAAATCCAACGCTTGAATGACTGGATCTCGTTGGTGGAGGAAAACGGCGCTTCGGGTAACGATCTCACTCGTGGAGATGAGCCTTCCACTTGGGGAAATCTAACGCTTTAGTAAGTATTCTCGATGGTGGAGAAAGCGTTTACTTGGGGATTCAACGCTTCGGGTATTTGGGTCTCGCTGGTGGAGGAAAGCGTTTACTCGACGAAATTCAATGCTTTGGGGAACGGGTCTCGTTGCTGGAGATGAGCTTTCATCTGGGAAAATCCAACGCCTAATCACCTGGGTCTCGCTGGTGGAAGAAAGCATTTACTTAGGGATCCAACGCTTCGGGTAATTGGGTCTTGCTGGTGGAGGGAAGCGTTTACTCGGCAAAATTCTATGCTTTGGGTAGCTGGGTTTCGCTGATGGAGATGGGTTTCCACATAGGAAAATCCAGCGCTTGAACTACTGGGTCTCGTTGGTGGAGGTGAGGGTTCACTTGTGGAAATTCATCGTTTTGGGTAACTGGGTTTCGCTGGTGTAGATGGGTTTCCACATAGGAAAATCCAGCGCTTGAACTACTGGGTCTCGTTGGTGGAGGTGAGCTTCCACTTGGAGAAATCCAACGCTTGAATGACTAGGTCTCGCTGGTGGAGGAAAGCGTTCACTCGGCGAAATTCTATGCTTTGGGTAGCTGGGTTTCGCTGATGGAGATGGGTTTCCACATAGGAAAATCCAGCGCTTGAACTACTGGGTCTCGTTGGTGGAGGTGAGGGTTCACTTGTGGAAATTCATCGTTTTGGGTAACTGGGTTTCGCTGGTGTAGATGGGTTTCCACATAGGAAAATCCAGCGCTTGAACTACTGGGTCTCGTTGGTGGAGGTGAGCTTCCACTTGGAGAAATCCAACGCTTGAATGACTAGGTCTCGCTGGTGGAGGAAAGCGTTCACTCGGCGAAATTCTATGCTTTGATAACTGGGTCTCGCTGATGGAGATGAGCTTCCACTTGGAAAAATCCGACGCTTGAATGACTGGATCTCGTTGGTGGAGGAAAACGGCGCTTCGGGTAACGATCTCACTCGTGGAGATGAGCCTTCCACTTGGGGAAATCTAACGCTTTAGTAAGTATTCTCGATGGTGGAGAAAGCGTTTACTTGGGGATTCAACGCTTCGGGTATTTGGGTCTCGCTGGTGGAGGAAAGCGTTTACTCGACGAAATTCAATGCTTTGGGGAACGGGTCTCGTTGCTGGAGATGAGCTTTCATCTGGGAAAATCCAACGCCTAATCACCTGGGTCTCGCTGGTGGAAGAAAGCATTTACTTAGGGATCCAACGCTTCGGGTAATTGGGTCTTGCTGGTGGAGGGAAGCGTTTACTCGGCAAAATTCTATGCTTTGGGTAGCTGGGTTTCGCTGATGGAGATGGGTTTCCACATAGGAAAATCCAGCGCTTGAACTACTGGGTCTCGTTGGTGGAGGTGAGGGTTCACTTGTGGAAATTCATCGTTTTGGGTAACTGGGTTTCGCTGGTGTAGATGGGTTTCCACATAGGAAAATCCAGCGCTTGAACTACTGGGTCTCGTTGGTGGAGGTGAGCTTCCACTTGGAGAAATCCAACGCTTGAATGACTAGGTCTCGCTGGTGGAGGAAAGGGTTCACTTGTGGAAATTCATCGTTTTGGGTAACTGGGTTTCGCTGGTGGAGACTCAGATAATCGCCGGGGGCAGGCGTCCGCAAACTCGCGCTTTTCTGCAG